GAATAAATCCGTGTAATAATTTCTGACGCTCCCTTACTTTCCTCCAGATCGAATAGTCAACTTCCTGTTTCTAATTACTTCCTCGAACCACTCGAAGTAATCCAATTAAGAATCATCGTATTATGGAAAAGCGTTCCCTAATTTAAAATTCAATTGCTTCGAGTGATTTTCAAAGAGAGCTCCGCAAGTTTTCTACGGCCTTCGTCAACTTCCAGTTATCAGCCGCTCCGGCCGCCGACTCGTCCACATCACCCGAGCTCTCGGGTCAAAAATCGTTTCAGCCACATTCGAAATGCATTCAATTTTTCTTTCCACGAAATCAATCTCGTATCTGATTCACGTTTAAGAACTGCGACACGCGTCCTGACCTCCGCGTCTTATATTATGTTCCGAAACTTTACTAAACTCGAATCCGTTCCCAGTCGCCGCTGAGAGAATTCGGAAATTTTCTCTCACCCACGCGAGTTCCATTAACTCGTGCGATTCCAGGCATTTCGCGCGGCGTTCCACGCGTTTTCGGGTCACCGTTGGCTTCGGTCAGGTGTTACGTAACTCCGTGACCGAGCCGGAGGAGGTATCGTCGACTTTGTTGCTCACGGCTTGAGACGCGATCGATTATTTATCCGACGTGACAGGGACTACTGCCGGTGTTCTCGGTTCACCGAGAACCGCGACGCATTTCGCGAAACGTTCCACGGTTCCCCGGCACCAGCCCGGACCCGGAATTTTCATCGGGCTTATCGATCCAGCCTCGAAAATGGAACATGCGAAAGCCAGCCAGTAACCGACGGGGAACACTGCCTTTTGCGAGTGATTAAAAAACTGTTCTTTCTCTTGTAATTGCGGCAACGATGCCACTCTATCGTAATTGCATGTTCACTGACAGAGCAAACTATTTTTACCTTTTCACAGCAAAACTAAACAAGTGTTCTTACACGTACATCCACTTGATCGTTAGATATCGTTAGACCGTATCGATAAATTAGTTACAGATATACATTTTTCTATGAAAAGACATAAGAAAAATTGACAGGATTAATTTTGTACACGTAACAGCTAATACATGTTCCTGTTTCTATTAGCAAACTAACTGGCAGTGGATATTAGAACGGGTTATCGTTGCCTCTATCAGTGCTATCACGATCGACGTAAAACGTGTAATAGAGTTTTCAGGTTAAAGTTCTCCACCGCTCTACCGGCAGCTACACTTTATTGGAACGGATTAGCGAGAGTCCAAGTGGCTTGCTACGTTTTAACGCGATTACCGGCAAGTTCTGGGTCAGGCCACCTCTGACCACAATCCCGATGAACCTAATAACCCATAAGATGCACCGATCAATTGTCACAGAAAAATCTGTATCGACTTTCGACTAAACCTGACTACCAACACGAAACGTGTGATAAAAACGTTTAAGGTAAACGTTTGTTCTATCACTGCTCGTAAAGAGTTCATAGTTTTATGAATGAAACGAGATATTTATGTTGAAATTTCACGTCAGGCGCGAGAGGTGCCGATAAAATCGGCGAAAGATTAATCTGACGATTAAACCAATCTCGAGAACGAGCATCGCGACTCGCTGATAATGGATTATCACACGCTGGCATAACGTGTAGCTCGCTGTCACTGCGATTGATCACCTGACTGCGAGTCTGTCCAACAAAAACGATCTAATTTACGTGGCAGGCATCGCCGATTAACCGAAAACGATGTCACAGTTAGAAGACCGATGAAAATGAGAATATGCGTCTCGTGGGTACGGGCCACAAATGACATACAGTTTATAATTGTGTATTTTTCATTGAGGGAGAAACGAAATTAATGGTCTATTTAAAAGTGAAAAATGTTTGCCATAATTATGGAAAAATGTGTCTAAAAATTCGTAAAACATAAATTTATATTACAAATGTTTTAATTTGCGGAAAAATCAGACTGATAATTATGATCATATCGACGAATGAAAATGTTGGCCCAGGAATTCTTGGTCTATCGATCGGAAGAGTCTGGGCAGGCTCCCAGCAAGGCTCGTTAATTGTTAACCGACGACTCCGGTGGCCAGTTAATTACGGCCGACGTATTAATAGGAAGTTAATCGCGGCCGCTTCCAAAATTTATTTCACCGTGAACTGACTCGGCTCGACGGGTCTGGCAAATATTTGTCCCCGAGTCGCGGTCTTTGAAAAGCGCTCGCTTAACTCTACAAGCTTTTTTTCCCTCGTACTTGCCCTGCACCAGGGTTGGAATTAAAATTCCATCTGGCGGAGGTTCGCGCCTGACCTTCAAGCCTGAAAAATTCGTCCAGCTTCGTTTTTTTACGTCTTTTCATCGTCTCGTTTCGCTCGGGAACGAGCAATTAGTGTTGCGAGGGGGTAAGAACGGCACATTTACTGCTTGCCGTTGTAAACGAACTTTGGAGAATGGTTAATAAAATTTGTTTAATCAATTAGAAATTGATAAATCATAGAACCGAAGATGTAATTTGCATTTTAATATGTTTACAGTAAGAAGTTCGAATTATGTTAACAATTTCGAATGCGTATTGATAAAAATGGAATCGATAGACTAGAACTCACGAGAAATGGCACTCGACGTTTCTTTCAGAAAATTCGTAACGCTGCCTATTGCGTGTCGATGAAAAATCGTTAGGCAAATTACGCGGATTCACGTCGAAAATAGGGACGAGAGAAACTTGAACGCGACTCAAAAGTTTGCACGGTCTCTCGCCCCCTCCGACCGGAAACCGCGCGGTAATTATTGCGTAACTTCGACCGGGACTCTTTGTTAACAACGAAAGCCCCACTCGAGACGAGTATCCGATGTTGAGCGCTCGAGGAAGCGTGAACTTCGTCTTCACGCTTCTGTTTCCATCCCTCTTCTCCCCATCGACCTTTCCCGCCGCTACATTTTTTCTTTTCCATTTCTCCCAAGGATTAATGAATTCGTATAATACGTAAGTACAAACATATGAATTTTTCCGCGTTATTATTCACCACTCAGACCTTTTTTCCTCCTCTACATTTTTTTCTTCTCCACTTCACCAAAGGAATAATGAATTTGCATAATATAAGTACCAGCCGCACGAAGGACTGTTAGTTTTTGTCAGAAGCGTTCATTCGCAATCCTTGTCCTCTTTCATATCTCTGATTACTCTACGTGCCGGGCTATCGCGGTTCTTTATATTTAGTCGACTTCTTTCACCGGCGCATCAGTGGAAATCTCAAATATTTGGCTACGCCACCGGCTTCGTGTTGTTTGTTTCGTTCCCGGTGTCCCGTAATTTAATAGCAAATTTTTTCTTTGCGCCTGTCCGCTCCTTGCTTTTATTTACCCAGCTAACCATTGTACTTTCTCTGTACGCGAAACAACCTTTTTACCGCGACCTACTATATATTTCACTGAATAAAGTGACGAGGGAGTCCGTGATTTCTCACGTAGGAAGCCACTTTGATTTTTCCCCGGGTAAGCTCGATCATAAATATTAAAGCTGTACGATCCACGAGTCACGCGTAAGCTCTCAGAGTTTCGCGGCTCGTATAGCGCTCATTTATTAACCGGCGAATAATTTTACGACCTTCAATGAATTCGAAACTTTCCCTCAAACGCCATCCAGGGGAAAATTCCGAATCTCCAACAATTTTCAAAGACACCTACGACGTTTAAACCATGCTTTTTAAACGAAATTAATGGCCACTCGCGTTAAATACTAAACCAGACGTTAGCACTTTAAACGATTAAAATATGTGAATTTATGTAAATTCATGCGTTCGTATAATGAACCGTTCCTAGAGGATAATTAAAAGAGACTTTCGCATCGATCACTTAATTCCATTTTATGGCTGCTTGAAGTAATTCGTTTTTGTCGAATCCGCGATAAAGACGTTTTACGGAAGCAACGTCCAGTCAAGCGGATAGAGAGCATGCAGATAGAATTTCAAAGGACTCACCCCTCATGCCGAGGATCGACGACCGTTCTCCCGGTTGAAGGGACACCACTTTTCTTTCGTTCCTAACACGTTTCCAAGGAACAACTTTCTCCGACACGATCACCCGCGCACTAAGGATTCAGGAACATGTAACACTCTGAAAAATAAACGCATCAACTATTTACACGTTGTAACAATGAAACAAAGTGATTTGATAAAACAGTATTCAAACGATAAAATTACTGAATTCATTTTCCAACTCGCTTAAAATTTTTAAAACGAGACGTGCCAAGGAATTAATAAAAAAAAGATCGTAGGAACGAAATTCTATTTCGTCACGTAGTAGCAGGGTAAAAAGGGTTAAGAGTTAGCGGAGTTTTCTTGACAAAGCCAAGGAACGGAGTAGCAAGATTTCTCTGGAAAGTGTCGGGAAAGCCACCACAACGAGCAGAGCTGGGAGAACCCGTAGGTAACCCGGGAACGCGTAATGAAATTCCTTCAGGTGTCACAGGAAAGAAAGGAAATTCGATAAGGCGAAGCATTCTCGGTTGAAATTCGAGGGCCTGATCAATTTATGAACCATGTACCAAGTGTGTATTGTCTATCAAAAAATCTGATAGTAAATCATATAAGAGTAATCATTTGTACAATGATTCATGAACTTTCAATAAAACTAGAAAAAATAAACTTTCTTTATATCTGTTAAATTATATTTTTTAAATAGTTAAAGAGAAATGTTGTAAACTCGGTTTGTCGCCCGATAAGTAAACTACGGACTTTATGTATTTACAGAATATGGAGGAAATATAAAAAGCTGCTTATCACGATGCCTGGGACTTTTATTTAAAATACGATTTTTAAATTCATACAATCATGTTACTTTGCATAAAAGTCTGTAATTTACTCACAAGGCAGTGCAGTTGATATTCAGTAAGGATAAGCGGAAAGAAAACTTTCGAACCACGAGACTGATGGATACGGGGAGGTATATTGAAGTCTCCTTTGAACGTAAATTAATTTTCCATCTGGATTCCCGCTCGCCTAGCGTGCAAATAACCTCAGACGTAGGGAGAGAAGTTTAAAAACCCGGTGAAACAGAGCGTACCGAGATAGTCGTTTGTGCCGAACAACCAGACGATCGAGATTACACGAGTTTCATCTACCTTTGCTAGCTAAGGGAACGATGCCAACCGATTCGACACTGTTCTGGGAGAAATCTGATATTGGAATTCTTGTTTTACGATTATACGCGAATCTATGATATACGTCTTCGGATCAATCGAATTATGATAGCAATTTATTATGTTCTGATTACGATTTGAAAGTTCGACAAGAATTTAATGAGTCTGTTATCGCGAACACTATAATCTTTTCACGTTCCACGAAATACTGCGCTTTATAATGAATTTTTACAAATGTTAATCTTTCTAAAACTCACCTGCGAAGATTCCGAAGACTGGCCAGGTTTTGATAACACGTCACAAAAGCACACGGCACAACGTCATTACAACCGTCTTAATATCGAATTTTCAACTCTTAAGAATAAGCCTCATGTTTCGACTCTCACCAGCTTCCCCTCGATTCCCGCACTAAATTAATCGACACCGAGTGAACGGTAGCTAAGAATTAAGAATCACAATCTCTGTGCCCGTAACCCATCTTGCCCGAGACGGAATTCACGTGGCACCGGATCGATTAACCCCTTCGATCCCCCTCTCCCTTCTCCCGCCTTCGTTTCTCGCCCTGGAACCGAGCCGTGTTCTAATTAATCTCCTTTTTTTTTAGGCCAGCTCCGATTCGGGGGATCGTTAAACACGCGCGAGTGGGTCAAGGACGCGGCCTGAACTTGCTGCTTCGACCTAGCCCGGGAAAACTCGTAAGCTTCACCTCCCGGGGTTCAACGCAGCCTTTTCAATCGTCGCTTCAGTTTTCTTTCAATTTTTTAAGCCTTCAGAATTCTCGAATTAAAACTTAATTCTTCGATGATGTACTAAAAATTGATTGAGTAAAAGATGGATTCTATTTGAAGAAGAAAAAGATGTGTCTTTTGTTCTTTCATAATAAATTTTTTGAATAGTGAATTAAGGATGTATTGGCTATACAGTCAAT